CCAGTAGGCTTTAATTTCACATCAGCCCAACAGTTTCCAACTTGAATAATAAGAGGAAGCTTGGTGATTTGCAGCCGTGTTTCCTTAAATTAAACGTGCCACGATCCTTTCTTTCACCCTTAGTGCTTCAGACTCCCAAGTTTTTCCTTGAGCTCTCCCATTTTTCTTCTGTGCCGAGGGCAGGAGGCAAAAAATCCAGGTAGGGCTTTGTTATGAAATGAACATTCCCTCCCCCCCGCGAGCCCTTCAGATCTATGGAGGTGGATGGACATTCCCACCGAATTCACTGCCCCGAAGATTCACACAGCACACAGGGTTACAAAAAAATTTAATGAAAAACATGTTCTAAGTTAAAAAGAATCTTTGTTTTACATCATAACGATGTCCCAGCTGTTCGGAACATCAGCGCAGGGCTGCGGTTTGTCTCCCTAAGAGAATTTCACCCCGAGGAGCATCACTTGTAAGTACACAGCTACTCCTGCTGGTACGACGTCTCTCACTGCCTCTGTCTTTCTCCTGCTGATCACAGCTAACCCAAACTGCTCTGGCTTGTTCATTTCATTTTTTTCTGAGTGCTGTGCACATCTGTTAGGCTGTCTAAATAATCACCACGTAGGTAAGCTTGCTTCCATATATAGCTGACCTGGATAGGCTGACAGGAAAACACTTTCTCTCCAGAAACATCATACATTTTTGTAGCTTAATTTTAGTAACTGTAGGTCTGTTGCCCATTTCTTTCACTGTATTCTGTATTTGGAGAAAAATAAAAGGTTGGATATGAGGTAGTTGTCACTGCACAGCTTTAGACTTTCATCCCTAACCAAACTTTTGGAAGTGATCTGAAGGCAGAGCTGCGCTACTTAGATGGCACCTCCCACACGGGGAGCTCATCACCCACAGTCAGGTCAGACAAAACTTCTTCTTCGAAGTCAAACAGTTCCAAAGGCAATTCATTGACCTGGGAAGAAAAATCCAAGCGTCAATTTCATCTCTTCAACAGATAAAAGAAATCGGGCGGACGTCGGCTGTTTCAGACACAAAAACACCTCCTGTTTCAGTTACACTCAGTGAGAAAGGAAGGTTGTTCCTCTGGACAATAGGTGACTCAGTGTCATCAAACGGAGCAATGTGTCACAAGGTTCCCGAGCCACTTCCTTCATGCAAACTGCAGGAGGAATCGGACACTGCTCTGATGCATCACGTGAGAGCAATGCTTGCTTTCAAAAGAGCTGAGAACCTGCTGAGGGCTGGCAGTGTGAAAAAGCTGGCGTTCAGAATTCATCTCTCGTGCGTGGTGACAACCAATGCACTGCGTGTCTGACAGCTCTCACAGTTACCTGCAGGGCTTCCCCCAAGCTTTTAGCAGTCATTCCCTGGGGGTGGCATAAGGCCATGAAGTGCGTTTCTGGATGGGGAGTTTTATTGAAGATCTTATTAAAAAATCACTGGGTTTAACCTACTGTAACTTGACTGGGATTTCCACTGTCACAGACGCTGTGCTGTTACCTGAACAAGCCCCTCCAGCTCCTCCTCTGTTAGGAAGTCTGCGGGCTCCTCTGCAGCCTGGTTGTACTCCACGGCCACTTTACCGCTCTCTGGAATGGAACACAGGCAGAGAGCTGGTTGCTGTGTGCAGTGACACCAGCCTACCCTCAGCTCCGCGTGGGGCAGCTCTACTTCATTACTGCTGTGATTCCAGAGTGGAGGAAGGACGCAGCCGAAGGGTTTGTCACGTTAATTACAAGGTACAGGGGACAAGAGCAGGGGTGGTTACTGCATTGGGTAATGCTGCTGCTTCTCTGCAGAAAACCAAAAGGTTCTGACTGAACGGAGTGGAAACTGAAAATGAGGATATGGAACACGTTAATTACCGGGCTGTGTTGTGTGATGGACCAGAAGGCACAAAGCACTGCAAAGTATCTGTATCCAGAGACCCACCCTTCTAAGGAATGCCTTAAAGAATCCCGGACAGGAAGCTGGCAGGTTAACGAAATCCTGCTGGATTTAACAAAGCTCCTGCTCAGATGCTGCATCGGCACCACAGCGCGAGGCGGCGCTCAGTGCGGAAGTCCCTCCTTTGGGAATGAGGATGGCGGCACTGGCCTCGGCACACCAAGGCCTCTCCTGAAGTTGAATGCTTTGAGGGCCAAAGCACTCAGTTATCACATAATTCAGCGCCAGCTGAAGGCTCGGAAAACACCGGATGTGAAATCCAGGGAGAACACATCCAGCAGCTCCTGGGTAGGCACAGAGCCGGATTCGTCAACTGAAATCTCCAATCGTAGCCCCAGAGACATTGAGGACAACAGAAGGGCAGGAGCTACCGAGTCCTTGTGCAGCCCCACGCCAGGTCTTACCTAAAACCACGAGGAGAATCTTCTGAAAGGCGCTGGACAAAGCTTTGCCGACTGCGAGCTTCCGAACTCTTCCTGCAGCTGTAACAAACTGCAGAGGATCTGCGCTGGTGAAACAGCAGGTTAATGAAGACAGCCTGCAGATGAAGCACATCACTGGGGAACGAAATCAAGTGGCCAAAACGAACCTTCACCATTGCCAACGTCTGCCTCACCGAGCCCAACTCCCCGGCTCCGTACGCCATGGCTGGGCAGCGTTACTTCCACAGCACACAGGTATCTCACACATCGCTTCTTCCCCACTTCCTCATTCTCTTCATCAAAGCCAGACACGTTCTGCAGCTGTCGGGAAGGCCGCAAGTCATCATTTGAGATTAAAGAGGAAGGAGGGGTTGTGACTGAGCGGCCACAGCGTGGCACAGAGCTTTTCTGCACAGCGTGGCAGCGTGTGGGGAGGCGAGGTGGGGATGCTGACTGTTTTGACCCTATTTTAGAAATGTTTCATAGTCTCAGTCACCTCAGGAACTCAGCACACAACGACAAGCTCTGGCACGGCTTTATTCACTGCATGAAACCCGCTGCCCTCACGTGCACAAGCAGAAGCCCAGCCAGTGCCCTTGCCCACAGCAATCTTCTCTCCTCAAGCTTTCAAAATAACCCCAAGCCCCAGTTCCTGTGGCTGTCCTTGTTATTTGCTGACTGGAGGACAATTCTGTTCACTCCACCAACTGCTTTTTTTATGGGATAAATGAGGGGAACATGGGAGAACGAGGGGCAGGCTGATGGCAGAGTGACAGGGATGTGGCACGGAGGGACACGGCTCAGTGGGCACGGCGGCGATGAGCTGAGGGCTGGGCTTTATGATCCCAGTGGTCTTTTCCAACCTTAATGGTTCATTGAGTGGGCATGCTGGTGATGGGCTGATGAGCTCAGTGGTCTTTTCCAACCTCAAAGATTCAGATTGTAAGACCATAAAGGGCCCCTTACCGTGATGATACGGCTGCACCAGCCGTTAAAGCCAAGGTAGTGGTTGGCCAATTCCTGGCACTTGTTGCTGTTGAGAGCAAGGACTTGCTGCTGAAATCCCTTCTGCTTGGTGCAAACACAAACCTGCTCAGGGAAGAAGCGAGCAAGTTAGCACAGAGAGCATCTCCCAGATCAACAGATCCACCCAGAGCTCCTGCCCTGCTGCTGAAGGTCCTGGTGCTGAGGGATGGCACAGCTTGGCCGTCCTCCTTACCTTCATTGGGGAGTTCTGAAACAGCTTTTGCCCGTTGCACGCCTGCTGGGCTCTGCTGGCATCTGCAGCTGAGTAGAACTTGATGATGGCATAGCAGCCAGGCCCTGCCACAGCAGCATTGCTGTGTGCTCGCACCGAGTAGAGCAACCCAAATTTTGAAAACACTGAAAACAGGGCATGCTTTGGAAACAAACGAACAAGCAAACAGAACAACAAACCAACACAAAAACACAAACAACAAACGAACCAAGAGAAAAAAGTGCATCTTATAGAACATCCATGGGTGCCCAGAGGCTGACCAGCTCCTTCCCTCTGCCCTCTTGCTTTCTGAGGGCTTTGCAGAAGCTCTGTTACACACTTTAGCAGCTTCATTGCAGCTCTCTGACACTTTGCTGCTCTCTCAGCAGCTTTGCTTTGCAAACCAGAGGGGCACAAATCTCCCTCCCCTCCCTCGGGATTGCCCAGAATGCCTCAAGGAAGTTAAAATATGATCCGAACAATACAAGGCAATGAGAGGTGGGGGTGAGGGTAAAAATTACATTAGCACGAAGGGAACGTAGTGGGAGAGTTGGTCAGTGCAACGGAGGAACTGAGCTGTTATATCCCCCAGCCTCACCCTTCAGGGCCAGGGGTCTGGGCTCCACTCCTCAGCCCCAAGAGGGGCCCTGCTCCCCAAACACAGCTGTAGCCCCCATCCCAGGCCTTTCCCCAGGCCCCCGATCCCACCCTCAGCTCCTGATCCACATCCCCGTCCCTGCCCCAATCCCAACCCCAATCTCATCTCCAGGCCCAGTCCCCAGTCTCAGGCCCAGGCCCCGAACCCATCCCCATCCCCATCCCTCTCCCCAATTTCACGCCCTGACCCCATCCCCAGCCCCTTCCCCAACCCCAGGCCCTGGCCCCATCCTCACACCCCAGCCCCAGGCCCAGGCCCTGACCCCATCTCCAGGTCCTGACAACCCCAGGCTTCGATCCCAATTCCCCCCCCCCCATCCCCAGGCCCCAACCCCAAGCCCCAACCCCACCCCCTGCCACCCCCCGAGTTCGATCCCAATCCCAATTTCCACCTCACCCCCACCCCCAGGCCCCAACCCCAATCTCAAACCCAGCCCCAGCCCTGAGCCCCAGTCCCCATCCCCAGGCCTCAGCCCCATCCCCACCTCCAGGCCCGGCCGTGGCTCCAGCCCCCACACCAGCAATGTCTGCGCGCTGCCCGCAGGCACCCGGAACTCCAGCACCTCCGCCATGCCCGCTCCTCCTTCCTCCCTCCCCTTCACCAGCCCTCAGCCCGCCCCAAATCCTCCCTGCGTCCCCAGCCAGCAGCCAGCCGACAAAGCTCAGCGTTGCGGGATTTTATTCCTCGTGTTTTTGGTGTTGGGGTGGAGGGGAGGGGGGGGAATGGGGCCGTCAGCCGCATCGCGGACGCGGAGAGCCTCAGATGTTGCAGTTGCTCTCCCCAAAGCGCCGGCACTTCATCACCTTCAGGTAGGTCTCCACTTTGTGCAGGTCCTTCTTGAAGCAGGACAGCAGGCCGTAGTTCTTCAGCAGGGCGTCCTCGCTGCGCAGGTGGATGTCGAACCTGTCGTAGGTGGGTCTGAGGAGCTGCGGGCCCCGCGGGCTGCGGTCCTCCAACTCCTGCGGGATGAGAGGGCTGCGGCTGAGCGAGGGGCTGCTGGCAAAGTGAGGCTGTCTTTGCTCCTGCTCTAACAGTGAGCAAAGCTCTGACCCAGCCCTGGGCATCGTGGAGCTGTGAGCTGCAGCCCCTGCTCACCCCGCATGGCTCGGGTCTGTTTGGGGTGAGTGAGCGGTTCTGGGTGCTCTGGGTATCGCTTCTCAGGACCTGCACTCGTATCAATGGATGGCAAAATCTGGAAGCGGTGCTGCGTGTGGAGCTGCAGCTGGAGTGTGATGGGATCACGGCGTGGTTGGGTCGGAAGGGACCTCAAACACTGCAGGACTGTGGAATCACAGCCTGGTTGGGTTGGAAGGGACCTTGAAGTTCGTAGTACCATTGGATCACAGCATAATTGGGTTGGAAGGAACCTCAGAGATCACAGAAGCATGGAATCACAGCACAGTTGGGTGGGAAGGGACCTCAAAGCACCCCCAGTCCCACCCCCTGCCATGGGCTGGGTTCCCCCCACCAACTCAGGCTGCCCAGGGCCCCATCCATGGCCTTGAGACCTCCAGGGAAGGGGCACCACAACTTTTCTGCACAAAAATGTCAGGACAGAGGGTCTGTTTGCTCCCAAGCCTGGCTTTTCTAGTTATTTAGGGTCTATAAGATATAAACAATTGTCCATGCTCATGTGGCACAGGTGTGGGTCTCCAGCTGTGGTGATGCTGAGCACATCCAAGAAAGGATTCTGACAATAAGCAACATCATTCAAAATAACAAAGCAAAACTTCATCATGGAGCTGTTAATGTTGGAAAGACCCAAAGCCCAGCCCCAACCCCCCCCCCC